ACAGCTCAAGCTCAGCAAAGAGAGCTATTGGAAAAGCTATAATGAAGAGAAGAAACTCTTTGAGCAAATGCTTGAGAAGGCTGTTGGACAAATAATAAAGAGAGTGATAACATGTTATTTTCAGAATCAGAATGAGCACATGCCTAAAGCACCAAAAACCACTTAGGAAAAAGATGCTTTGATTAAATGCATTTGGTTAGATTTTAGCAAGTAATTGTGGTTGAAACAGAACATTTCCATCCATCCATCCATCTGTCCACTCAACATTAATTTATCATCTATTATATGCCAATGCTAGATAATAAGAGACAGTCTCTCTCTCATCACTTCTTGGTCTTTTGGCTAAGATCAAGTGTGTGAAGAGACAGTCTTTTGACACCTCTGGTGAATACAAGGCAAGTTTCTTGGTTAAAGTACAGAAAGTTTAGTTTTGTGGCTTTTTAGAGGAGAATTTAAAATGAGACAAGTCCTTACTATAATCAATTTTGTAATTAATTACAATTATGATTCTGTGCAGCTCCACTACCCAGGCAAGAAAGGGCACACAGTCCTAGACCTCAGATGCTACAGCTTAGTTGGAGTTGATCTCATTGTTGACATGAATCTAGACTTTATTAACCTCTGATCTTTGCTGAACCTGCTTTAGCTGAAAGAAGATTATATTGTAATATAAACAAGTTACTCTGTTAAAATTTTAAATGTTTACTAAGAACAAAGGCTGAGTCATACACATATGTTGTAATTAGACAGTAATTGCTCTGTGGTAATGTATTAACTACAAAATGGGTTTAGTCAGAGTTTGATTTTTAAACTTTTCTTTTAATTAACAAAGACTAAGCAAAATAAATTGTACAAATAAAGAGCTTCACTGATTTTTAAATAGTGAGGAATTTGGAAATAGTAATTTGGTGTTTATTCTCAGTGTGTGAAAATTATACAACATGCTTAAATGTTTCATTTTTAGTATTTTCTTCTCAGAATTGTGGTATCCACATTTATATGAGTATTCCAAATCATGCTGTACATTAAGTTGAAACATTTATAATAAATTGTTGAAATACTATATTATCATGTAAGGATTTAATGGTTCAAAAATTGAGGCATGATGGAATCCTCCTATTGGCAATGTTAAAAGTAATGTCTGATTAGAAAACTTTCTTTTATGAGTTAAGTCGTCCAGTTGCCCATGGATATTAATTATGTGTTTTTTGTTTTAATTCAAGTCTTAACAGTAGAGCTATGTTATGACTTTATCAAAACACATTTCCTTTTGTCCCTAAAATACCTAAAATATCAAAATTAGAACAAATTATGATTAGCCAAAATTACCATGGTTTCCATGAGTATATCTAGATATATGAGTGGCTTTAAAGCATTTATGTAAAAATGGAATTTAACGATGTACCATTTCCACAAATATTTTTAAGACCCTTTATATATCCATATTATAGTTTTAGATAGATAATTATAATTAAATGGAATTTTCTTTAATAACAAATGAACCATGATTTAAATAGGTAATTTTTAATTTTATCCTTGTGAAGCTTTAATTTTGAATAAAATGGATAAAGATAACTTTATTATCAATTCAAAATGACTCATGAACATTAGTAAGTTAAGATAAATAGTTTTTCTTATAAGAATTATTGATTTTTTCATATCTAAGGACTACCTTCATGAAGAAGCTAAAAATTTACATGATGCTGGCTTAGATGTTTTTCAGAAATAAGTCATTATGTCTTTATCTTTCTTCTTCCATTCTCCCTTACAATCAGATAATTTGATAAATCTAGTGGTTGTCTTATTTATTTTGTAACTTTATGACAAATCTAAACAGTGACTTTTAAACTATTATTCCTTATGTATCCATACACATTTGCTTGGGTAAATAGTTAATGAATAAATTTTAATTTCTCTTTCCTCCCCACCTTTCTCCCTTTCCTTCTTTCTCTTTCTTCCTTTTTTAATATTTTGAGTGCTTTCCTCTTTCATGTCTCTTTCTTATAAATAAGTGAATGTCCCTTTAGCCTAATCTAATAAGATTAAAACAAAATCATTCAGCATATGAAGTAACTATTTTAACAGCAGGAAACATGAGTGCTTTCCAAGCAAAGAGACTGACATTTACATGAGTTTTCTTTTTGCCCCTTTCTCTGAATTCTCTTGTGGCTCTGGTGTGGTGATTCTCCTCAGAGTGGTGACATGTGAGGTGACAACCCCGATACTAGCTCTGCTAGTCAGTTCTTGTAGTCAGTTATTCAGTCTCTAAATTTTCTCTCTTCATTTGTCTCTGTCTCCTTCTCTTGCCCTTCATTTTTTCTTATAGCATAAGAAAAGTGACTTTTAATAACTTGTAAAATGACAGAACTCCCCTAGAGATTTTGAATCTAATATTATCCCCATACCTCAGAGAACCAATGAGGTAAATAATTACTTTAGATAGAAGAACCAATAGAAAAGAATGCAATGTGTGGCAGGGGCATTAAGTAAATCCCAGGGTGTGTTGATTGCTGAGGTTAAAAAATGTGTGTGAGTCTGTCAACTGGATTGGTGGGAATGGCCCACTAAAAATCTATTTTTGGAAGGATCTAGAGACTTCACAATAATAACTCATCTAGTGCAGAGAGGTTGTCATGCATGAGAGGCTTGATCCAACCCCACCACCTAGGATATTCTGGACATTTCTTGGATAGTAGTGTCTTTTGACACAGAAAAGTCTCCTCCGTGTATCATCTGGACTAGTGTCTGAGTCTTATTTTGACTCATGAGCAGGATCTGTAAATTAAAATGAAGAGACCTGTTTGGCAAGGTTTAGAGGCACAAACATACTTTTTCTGTAGCAACCATCTAACATAATGTCATACGTGAGGATACACATTCTTGTTCAGTGCTCAAAACAACAACCCATAACCCTGGATCTTCATGGGGCCAGATATATTATCAGTGATAGAAGGCTGTGGTGTGTACGTGGAGACAGCAGCATCCAGAGATAGCTCCTGGCAGATGAAGATGCATGCACCATGTGGACAGTGGCATACAACAAAAGTGAAATGGTGTAGCGGTGCATCCAACAGCTATAGCATAGTGGGTAATCACACTGACAGGTTGGAGATATCCTGAAGCTAGTGAAGATTAGGACTTTGCAGAGGTCTGAGCTATTGGAAAGTAAGAATGGTGATATTTATGTTGTTACTACACATTGACTCTACTTGCTGCAAATGTGACTGCTGGAGAAACCCAAACTCACAAAAGCATCATACAAAGATGCTGAGGCGCATCAATATTTTAGTCTCCAATATAATTTCCAGTCAATCCCTTCTTTAAGAAGATAAAATAATGAGTGCTACAGAGAGACAATCAGTCACTATTTAGATAAGGAAGGAGATGGAGTGAAATAGAAAGAGAAAACATCAGAATTAACAAAGTTAATTATGGTAGCAGAAGCAAGAGAGGCTGGTTTTCATACTATGGAATATCTTCCAACTAGGCAAAAAAAGAGCTATCCACACTCATATTTTCACAGGAAGCAGAAACAATGAGCAAAAATAACCATGAAAACTGACGCTGGAAATTAAAGAAAAGGAAATAGAGTAGGTAATTCTTGTTCCCAGCTAGATTTTTTTTCTAAGCTGAAAAATAATACAGAATTATATAAGCAAAACTAGAATGAAATTACTGTGAAAATGGTAACTTTTAGAAGGTTCCTTTAAATGCATCCTCATTATTTGTCAGCTCACCCGTCATGCACACAAGCACAATAATTTTTTCCCTTCTTGAAATGCTCACAGAGTGGGCTATCTGCATGCACTGAAAGCATGTATTTTTTCATGCATTGGTGCATGCTGAATAGCGTTGTCCTTTTTCTAAATTATAATCTCCTTGCCTGTGCAATTTCCATGAGCAAATATGGGTATTTGCACACACAAATGGAAGTGCATGAAAATAATATGTGCTTGGTATTAGTGGTTCCAGCCAGGGTTTGGCTCTTTGAGTTAAAAGCCCCGTAAATGCTGCACAGGTTCCTGAGAAAGCTGTCTTTAGCAAGCACAATTCATAAGCCAAGGCAAGGAGTTATAATTCCATTAGCTAAATATCCATTCTTGAAGAAGACTTTTTTCTAGGACTTGGAGTTGTTCAGTGCTTTAAAGGATAACATTTTATTAGGATGTGGCATGTTAACTTTTGGCTCAGCAGTGCTTACTAATATGTGGTGGGTTTGAAGTGCAAAGCATATCTCTTAATTTCCTCTTAAACCATTGCTTTAAAGTCATATAATTATTAAAAGTATACATGAGAGCTTAACATTTCTGTGTTATATTGCCAAATAATATCCAAAATGCAAGAGATTACAAAAATTAGTAATTACATACATAGAGCCAAACTTCTTCTCAGAGCACACATACTTCTTAAACATTTTAGGGAATCCGACATTTTTTTAGTGCAATATTCTAATGCTATTTGTCCCGTAGAAACTCTTATTCGTATGCACATCTTCACACATCTTGTGTTTTTTATTTTAGTCCAAAATTTTCTGAATATGGCTTAAGAGCTGGATGGTCCTCACTGCAATCTTTTAACACTGCCCTTCTCATACTCTTTAAGCTGAATCTTTCCTTTCAATGACACAGACAGAAAAATCCTAAAATACACTTTTCTTTTGTATTTTCACAAAATAGTATCCTTCATCAAGCTGTTCAGAAGCATAATTGAGGAACCTCTACTTGTTACATTGTTTCTCACCAACATTCATTTATCAATTTTTTTTTAATGAAAAGGAATATTTTACAAAGGGGATAATGATGTGTTTCTTGATCTTCCAGCTGCCAAACAACGGACTGAAAAGTGAGAAACCAAATCAATAACCTGGAATCATAATATACCATGGTGTATAATGAATGGGTTCAGTGATAAATCCTTGTTGTTTATTAAATCCAGTGGGCAGGGTGTATGTTCCAAAGATCGCTGCTGCACAATTTTCTGTTCTAACTGTTCTTCTACAGCCTTGCCATTGGCCTCCAAGGAAGTGGAATCAGATTTTCCTCTCCTCAAATCTGTGCTAGCTTGTGCGTTGCTTGAAACTGGTGGAATGTGGTACAAGTGAATACAATGTGATTTCTGAAATGTGGTCATAGAAGACAGCACAGCTCTCACCTGGTTGCCAAGACACTCACTTTCGGAACCCTGAGAGTCTGATCACCCTGAGGCCTCCACACTGTGAGGAAGCCCAGGGCACAGGGAGAAGCCTGTGTGGGTGCACTCACCAGCAGTTCTAGTTGAGTTCCAAGAACTGAGCACCAAGAACGCGAATGAAGATGCTGCTGGTGACTTCAACCCTCGGCCGTGAGTATTCTGTCTGGCAATCCAGACACCACATAGCAGATACAAGCCATTCCCTCAGAACTGCGTCTGAACTACTGATCCACAGAATCTGTTATCCTTATAAAATTCTTGTGTTTCCTGCTGAGCTTTGGGTTAATTTGTTATACAATGATAGTAACCAAAACTGTCAGTAAAATGTTCAAATATAAACAGCCAGGAAATTTCATCTCAGAAATTGTAGTAGATTTCATTTGGGATAAGATGTTGGGCTATTTATTTAGAAAAATCCAGTGAGATTTAATTATTAAAGAGAGATGGGGGGGAGTGGGTAATCGTTTTAACATCAATATTCTCGCTTTGAAATTAAGTTACAACCTTAAAAAGTACATAATAAAGTCTGTATTTTTAAAAGATCAAATGAGGGGTGGGCATTGGCTCAGTGGTCAAGCTAATACTTGGGATACCTGCATCTCACATCAGTGCCCAGGTTTAGTTCTTGGCTCCATTTCTGATTCCAGCTTCCTAGTGACGTGAACCCTGGGAAGCAGTAGATGATAGCCCAAGTACTTGGGTCCCTTTCACCCACATTAGAGTCCTGGATTGCTTCTGGCTCCTGGCTCCTGGGTTCAGCCCAGTGGAGCCCCAGCTGTTGAAGGTATTGGGGAGTGAACCAGTAGATGGAAATCTGTCTGGCTGTCCCTCTACTTCTTAAATAAATAAGAAAATTTAAAAACTAAAAATATATTAGTAAATTGGTCAGACTGGATGATTCACTGCAAAAATTCTCTTGAAATATGCAATTTGGGCTTGATCAATGGGCATTTTGTCAGTATCTGTAGGTAACAGTAGATAAGCTACTACTACTACCATTCTATTTCTGCTCTTCCTTTCTCTTTCACCTCATTTTCCCTCCTAGTTAGTGCCCCTTTAGAGGGTCAGCTGGTGCATGGGTGTGGTATGGGGTAGTGTGTGAAAGAGTGCAAAGTGAAAGTGATTTGTGTCAGCCTCTCATCACACACACATCTGACCAAGGGGAAGCCTATTTATATATGAAATAAACTCAAACCTTCTATTTAATGGAAAAATAATTCTAAGAGGGTAGTTTTCAGTGGCAAACCTAAGTGTAAGACAAAGAAATAAACCACAGCAAGAAAACAGTTCTCCGGGTCATCAAAGAAGGAGGTACCTTTCTCTGAAGGGAGGAGAGAACTTCCACTTTGACCATGGCCTTGTCTAAATATGATCAGAGTCGGTGAACTCAGGGGGCTTCCATAGCCTTGGCAGCTCATGACAAGAGTCTAGGGTGATTACTGATGCCATAGACAAGAGTGTCAATTTGTTAAGTCAACAACAGGAGTCACTGTGCACTTACTTCTCATGTAGGAGCTCTGTCCTTAGTGTGCTGTACATTGAGATTTAATGCTATAACTAGTACTCAAACAGTATTTTTCACTTTATGTTTCTGTGTGGGAGCAAACTGTTGAAATCTTTACTTAATGTATGCTAAACTGATCTTCTGTATATAAAGAGAATTGAAAATGAATCTTGATGTGAATGGAAGGGGAGAGGGAGTGGGAAAGGGGAGGGTTGCGGGTGAGAGGGATGTTATGGTGGGGAAGCCATTGTAATCCATAAGCTGTACTTTGGAAATTTATATTCATTAAATAAAAGTTAAAAAAAAAACAGTTCTCAGCAATAACTCCTTCACTTTTGGTTATTCCCAGGTGTCCATAAGTAGACACAGAGAGTTCTTCCATCCTAGGTGTATTATTGCTACAATCATCTAGTGAGGAACAGATTGAGTGAAATTATTGGAGTTGATAGAAATGAAAATTGCAATTAGAGTTACTGCAATTATCAGAGCACACGGGAGGAAACAATAATGAGAATTACTAGGTCCTGATCCAATTGTGTATTTCAAAACTTCTACTTCAAAATAGTGAAACTTTTAGAGCACATTTGGGATGATTTATTTTTTCTTGCAAAGAAAACTCCAGATTTTACAAAAAGGCTTAAAATTCTTTCTTGAAAATCCTGCAGTGCCTTGCCTGACTCATGATTGTCTCTGAATATACCTATACAGGACCAGACCCTCCATTCTACTTTGGATTTGCTCAGTTGGTGGGGGAAGGGGCACGGTAGAGAAGGTAAAGAGGTCACAGGGTGGAAGGAAAAGAAGGAAGAGGTTTGTGGACAACCTCTGCTGGTCCTCAGTGTTGACCAGAAGAGTGGCACACAAGTGGAGAACACTGCTGCAGGAAGCAAGAAGGTAGCTCTGCTCCCTGGAGTTTAACAGAGCATTCTTGTTTTTTTTTTTTTTTTTCCTGCCAGGGGCAGGTGGGTTTTGTGAGGATCCAACTGGTTATTTGCAGTCACTAAGTTTGCACCCTGCTCAGAGATAATCCTGTTAGATGCTCCATTAATATTCAGTTGAATAAATCAAAGAGTTGGATAGAGGATGTGTCTTTCAAATGAAATGAAAATAAACAAAAATAAATGGAAAAAATAGTGTTTACTAACCTACAGAATTCTTTCCCAACACCTTATTATTTACCTTCCAGTCATCTCTCTGATTTCTCTTCTCAAACCTGTGACTGAAGCGGATGACATACCACAACTAAGTGTGAATAAAAATAGTAACACAGGGGCTGGCGCTGTGGTGTAGTAGGTTAATCCTCCACCTGAGGCACCAGCATTCAATAAGGGCACCAGTTCTAGTCCTGGCTGCTCCTCTTCCAGTCCAGCTCTCTGCAATGGCCAGGGAAAGCAGTACAAAATGGCCCAAGTCCCTGGGCCCCTGCAGCCACGTGGGAGATCTGGAGGAAGCTCCTGACTCCTGGCTTCAGATTGGCGCAGCTCCAGCCATTGGGGCCATCTGGGGAGTGAACCAACAGAAGGAAGACCTATTTCTCTGTCTCTTCTCTCCCTGTCTGTAACTCTAACTCTGAAATAAAATAAATAAAATCTTTTTAAAAATAATAACAACAATAATAGTAACACTGTTAGCAATGACAGTTAACCATTGTTAAGTGAGTACCATGTGCCTGACACCGGTTCTGGCACTCTACACATGCTATCTCATACAGTCCTCATAAGAACCCTCTGAATTCAGTCATATTCTCTTCCCTGCACTTCACAGAGGAGGCGATGGAAACTCAGAGAGGTGAAGTCTTTTCTGACCTCTCTGAGTAGCGAGGGGGAGATTGATAGAGGAACAGATGGAAGGGGCTCTGGCACACAATGATTGGGACTCTTGAGGACATGCGTGTGTTCAAGGGTTCCTCCCGTCTTCTCATTTTCTTTCCTCATTGGGCAAACTTTTATTTCCTTCTGTAGTTGTGGGAACCTGGTCAGAAGTTCTACCCTGCCTGTTTTCTCTACTCCCCTGTGCTGGAATTGCTCAGGTTTGTTTTGCCTTTGCAATGTGCTAGTGCTGCTGGAATTTAGGAAATCCATTTTTTTTTTTCAACAAATCTGACTTTTAAGGCTATAGTCTTAGAAAAAATTCAAACTTGAAACTCAAAACTGAGTAAAATCTGCTTTCTATTTAGAATACCATTGATCTCTAAGTGAGACATACCGGTGCTTCAATGGATGGGAACTCACAAGGAGACAGGGTAGGCCAAATATGAAAAAATATATTAGAATCTACTTCAAAAATTATTATCTTGCATCACTTAAAGTAGTAATGTATAGGGCTAATTTACTCTGTGTTTTGGAGTAAATATACAAAGGCCCTTTGCTCAATATTTCATTGATGTGTCAGTCTGCTATCTATTCATTCTATCATCTTCCTCTAATATTCCCATGTTTAATAAGAAAATAAAACTCAAAGAGTGAGCAATTTGACCTAGTGGACATTTGGGCAATAAAATAGTAGATAAGGGCTATCTCCTCCTCTCTGACTTTCTCTTTCTTTCTCTCCCCTCTTATTAAATAAATACTCAAAAAAGCATTTGCATGAATTTCAGGGAGGACTTTTTTAATATAGGAATTTCAGAAAACAGCCTTTATAGGAAGGTCCCCAATCTTTTCTTAGTTGTTCATTTCTGTCTTGGCTTTACATTTGTAAGTTTTCAGTTTATCTCCCACCATACTCAATTTCTTGAGATGAATTCTCTTATTCTAATACCTGGCAGAGCAATGGACATATAGAAGGTATGCAGTCAATATTTGTGGATAGAGCTGGCACTGTGGCAGAGTGGGCTAAGCCTCTGGTTGCAATGCCAACATCCCATATGAGTGCCAGTTTGAATCTTGGCTGCTCCACTTCCAATCCAGCTCTCTACTGTAGCTTGGGTAGGCAAACCCACATGGGAAGATCCGGAGGAAGCTCCTGGCTCCTGGCTTCGGATCGGCACAGCTCTGGCAATTGCAGCCAAATGGGGAGTGAACCAACGGATGGAAAACCTCTCTCTCTTTCTCTCTACCTCTCATTCTCTCTCTGTGTAACTCTGTCTTTCAAATAAATAAATCAATCTTAAAAATATCTGTGGAGGGGCCAGCACTGTGATGTAGTGGGTAAAGCTGCTGACTGCAGTGCCATCATCCCAATATGAGCCCCAGTTTGAGTCCCTGCTGCTTCACTTCCAATCCAGCTCTCTGCTGTGGCTTGGGAAAGCAGTAGAATATGGCCCAAGCCCTTAGGTCCCTGCACTCACATGAGAGACCTGGAAGAAGCTTCTGGCTCCTGGCTTCAGATTGGTGCAGCTCCAGCCATTGCAGCCAACTGGGGGGTGAAGTCCTCTCTTTCTCACGGCCTCTCCTCTCTCTGTGTAACTCTGACTTTCAAATAAATAAAATATCTTAAAATTAGTGGAAGCTGGAACTTTATAAAATTATTGAACACGGGAATGTTCACAGACTTGTTATTTTGTCTTCCTTCAACTCAATCCCACTTCTCAGGCCCTCTCTGTTCCTTAATCCTTCTTTTCAGGAATTCTGTTTTGGCCAGAGTGGTGACTGAGTTTGGATATTCACAACAGAGGACAGACAGGGAGAGAACAGGTCTGAGAGGAGATTGGGAGAAAGGTCCCTGGAAAAGAGAGAAAGCAGTGCACCAGAAGTGGCAAAAGTATGAAGGTGGTGGACAACAGCAAAATGAGTTAGGGAATGATGGGAGATAGTATGGATTTATGTGAGATGAAGTAAAATAACTGGCTAGGAAAACAAGATATGAGAAATTTAGCTGGGTGATTGTGAATGGATTTCTTTTTGAGCATTTCAAAAATTAGAAGTGAAGCCGGCGCCGCGGCTCACTAGGCTAATCCTCCACCTTGCGGTGCCGGCACACTGGGTTCTAGTCCAGGTCGGGGCGCCGGATTCTGTCCCAGTTGCCCCTCTTCCAGGCCAGCTCTCTGCTATGGCCCGGGAGTGCAGTGGAGGATGGCCCAAATACTTGGGCCCTGCACCCCATGGGAGACCAGGGTAAGTACCTGGCTCCTGCCAACGGATCAGCGCGGTGTGCCGGCCGTGGCGGCCATTGGAGGGTGAACCAACTGTAAAGGAAGACCTTTCTCTCTGTCTCTCTCTCTCACTGTCCACTCTGCCTGTCAAAAAAAATATTAGAAGTGAAAAGTGGAATTCCTTGGCATTTATTTTTATTTGTGTGTGTGTGTTTGTGTGTGTGTGTGTGTGTGTGTGTGTGTGTGTGTTTGAACTGGACTGCATTAGAGCAGCAATTATGACTTCATAGGATCATAATATTATCAAGGTTGTAAAATGAGTAGCCTTTAAAATAGGAAGGTCCTACCTCTCTGTCTCCTTCTGCTAATCATTGGGATTCATTGAGGTTTACTCTATGTGAGACACTGCTAAATACGTCACTTGCACTATCCTATTTAATTTTTATGGCAGTACTTTGAGTCAGAGTGATTATTTCCATGGTTCCAAAAAGAAAAATAAAGTGGAGAGGTTAATTTGCTTATACAAGTAAGACATAGGATTTGAACCCAGTTGTATCTAATGCTAAAATCTATATTCTTAAGTTCTCTGTAAATCCTTTCTAAAGATATTAATTGATGACTTTTAATAACATAGTACGGGTCTCTTGAAGGTGCTGGAATTTGATTCTTTACGAGCTGGCTAATGATTTATATCACATGCTTTTGTCTTTTTGGCTCTTCACAATGCATATGATATGCATTTATTCATGTTTCCAACAAACTGCCAAGTGTTTTCATTCTGCTTTATTAGAGATTCATAGTTCAGTGGTTCTCTAAGTATGGTCTGGGGACCTTTGGAAGTCCTTTTGACTATTTTAGGAGATCTGTGAAGTCCCAAAACAATGTGCTTGCAGAGGCAGAAATGAACATCTTTCTGTCTTCTATTAAGATAGAACTTGAAGAGATTAAGACAGTGTAAAAATTGCTCTTTTTTACAAAAATTTTGTTTGGAAAATATAGGTTTTTGTAAAAACATGCTACCTATTACATCACATAGTGAGTTTCTTATTGTTTAAAATGATAATTTTTTCTGCTTCCCTGGCCTCTTGCCAGGAGGGGGCTTGCTGTAGCCCTGCGCCTCCAAGGCATGTGGCTTTTGGGCCACCCACCCTAGGCTTCCTGGTCTAGATGCTCCTCCACGTGGCTGGTTCCTGGTGCTCGGTGTGAACCCAGATTTACCCCCTCTCTCTCTCTTAGATAA